TTGTACCCAATCTTTCCTTAGTCAATTCATTCCTGTTTTCCTTACTTCACAGGGCGCTTTGGCGAATCTCGATCGCTCATGCGATTGTGAAACTTGTTTGGACCAGGCTGGCTCGAAACCCTTTAGTGAAATTTGACGACTAGTGTAACAACCTTCGCGGCTGCTCTTGACTCATAGTGTCGTGACTGCAGAAGCCCAAATTCCAGTTCGGTGCTCGTCCCCCAAATTATCCCTAGTGCCACACGCATCTTGAGGTCATCAAAGTCCTAGCCATGGCTCTACCGTGTTTAGATGGTAAGCTGGCCTTTCAGCCGATTTCTATGCCCTTTCCCTACGGCGGAGGCTGGCTCGACATAAACGTGGAACACGCCGACAGGCTACGACCCGGTGAATGGGTCAGCGGGATCGTAATTGATTGGCTCGGTGTGTGAGTATCACGGTTAGGAAATCATAAGGCCAGATTCGTCACGGTTATCTCATGCGTTTCCTTTGTCGCAAATACGCGCGTGCGCAGGATGCTGCAGTACGAACACGGTCCCGACAGCAAGAAATGGCTTTACAATGGATCATATTTCCGGGAATATGCTAAGAAGGACATTTCGCGGCGAGAAAACGCCTATACTTTCGGCCTGGGTATTTTCGATTTCACATATGTACTCGTTCCGATAAATACCGAGTGAGTAGTCGGCGCGTCTAGCCGTAGCACCATATGTATTTCAGTAGTCTAACGCCGGCGTTGCTGATGTTAGACCTCATGTGTGCCTTAGGAGTCAGTGGAGCCTGATCGTGATCGAGCGCATCCCGAGGCCCGACGACCCGATTCCCATGAACTGCGTGCTCTGGCACGCTGACTCGTACGGCACGCATGCCGGTGTCGACGCCCCGTTGCGAAGGTAATCTCTTTTTAATGGCAGTCTGCTATTGTCACGTACAGAAGTTCGGGGTTACGATAGCATTGAATCTATGTCTCCCGGTGTGCAGGTACTTGCGAAACAAGGTGATAAGATACTGTGCATGGACCAGTGAGTCGGACGCAGATGCATGGGCGGCGAGCATCCCACTAAGGCAGGTCACGGTGAGTGCTGTTGCCTTGTGTGTACGAGCTTTGAAACAATCGCATCTCCCTTTCCCTGCACGCAATTTTCACACCGAAACCCCACTCCCGTCCCGGCCCTCACCACGCGCTCACGCACCCTGTGATTGTCCAGATACCCATACAGGCAAATGAGAACGACTGTGGTGTGTTCACGATGCGTGTGATGCACACGTTGGTCGAGGATGGTTTCCATAAATTACCGGCGTGTGATCTTGTAGGGACGCCACTCCATTGGCGCCGTCAGTACCGTCACGATTTGAGGAAGTGGTCTGTGTATTTTCGGGCAAAAACAATGTTGGAGGTTGGAGGTGGGGCAGGCGGCGGTGAAAAGCTGGTAATGGGGCGGGTAGCAAGCGAGAATGAGGCGGGAAGACTGGGGGAATGAGGCCCGAAGCAAGGGGGAATGGGGCCTGAAGCAAGGGAGAATGGGGCGGGTAGTAGTGAAGAATGGGGTGGGAAGCAAGGGGAAATGGGGTGGGTAGCAGGGGGGAATGAGGCCGGAAGCGAGGGGACATGAGGCGGGAAGCAGAGGGAATGAGGGGGGTCGCAAGGGAGAATGAGGCGGGAAGCAAGGGGGACGCGGCTCTGAAGCAAGGGGGAGTGAGGGAGGTAGCAAGGGAGTATGAGGCCCGAAGCAAGGGGGAATGAGGCCTGAAGCAAGGGGGAATGAGGCCTGAAGCAAGGGGGAATGAGGCCTGAAGCAAGGGGGAATGGGGAGGTTAGCAAGGGAGAATGAGGAGGGTAGCAGTGAAGAATGGGGTGGGAAGCAAGGGGGAATGGGGTGGAAAGCAAGGGGGGAAGAGGCCGGAAGCGAGGGGATATGAGGCGGGAAGCAAAGGGGAATGAGGGGGGTAGCAAGGGAGAATGAGGCGGGAAGCAAGGGGGATCGGGGCCTGAAGAAAGGGGGAATGAGGGAGGTAGCAAGGGAGTATGAGGCCCGAAGCAAGGGGGAATGAGGCCTGAAGCAAGGGAGAATGGGGAGGGTATCAAGGGAGAATGAGGAGGGTAGCAGTGAATAATGGGGTGGGAAGCAAGGGGGAATGGGGTGGGTAGCAGGGGGGAATGAGGCCGAAAGCGAGGGGACAAGAGGCGGGAAGCAGAGGGAATGAGGGGGGTAGCAAGGGAGAATGAGGCGGGAAGCAAGGGGGACGCGGCTCTGAAGCAAGGGGGAATGAGGGAGGTAGCAAGGGAGTATGAGGCCCGAAGCAAGGGGGAATGAGGCCTGAAGCAAGGGGGAATGGGGAGGGTATCAAGGGAGAATGAGGAGGGTAGCAGTGAAGAATGGGGTGGGAAGCAAGGGGGAATGGGGTGGGTAGCAGGGGGGGCTGAGGCCGGAAGCGAGGGGACATGAGGCGGGAAGCAGAGGTAATGAGGCGGGAAGCAGGAGGGAGTGAGGCGGGTACGTGGGAGGAATAAGTGTGTGAGTGAAGAACAAGGAAGCGGGTAGCATGGGGGAATGAGGACAAGATCAATAGGGAATTGTTTGTTCATCCGTCCTGCCAGCTTGATATGCCAACAAACATGACACAAAGCGCAATGGAGAGGCCTTGAATCAGTCCTGCATGACTTGACAACAAGTGTGGCCAAATGAGAGTGTTGGACACAACCAGTGCTCCATGTCTAGAGAACACTACCCGTAGGGAAGTGTTTGTCACTGGCGTTCCTGGTTGACATGTATACAAACAATACACAATGGGTCAGTGTGATGTTGCAAAACATACCTGCATGTCGCCACAACTCTAGTGGGTAGAACAGCAGGGGTTTCTCAACTCCGGTCCAGCATGAACCTAGAACATACAACACAGCATGCTCTTGGGTCCCTGCGTAAAAGGTTGCCCTGTATGGCATGAGAGCAGCCATGCCCCATACGGGGAGTTTGTGTCTGGCTCTATTATTATTGCACCTCAATTGGCACGAGAGGAGACATGCCCATACGCGTTGCATAACGACCAGGCAGCAATCAAATAATGCGTACTTACTAATCAATCGATGTATCAGAATGACTGCTCCACCACAGACCGTTATGTGCATGTTCTGTGAAGGTGGTGTTTGGTTTTACACTGTTATGTTGCATACTTGTCACTATGCTGATGGGTTAGGGGGACTCCTGTTACGAGTGCAATCGAGTGAGCGAACGAGGATTGCACTATCGGGAAAAAAGTACAACTGAGCGAAGGTATGAGCGAAAGGTTATATAGCAAAACCACAGTGGTAACGGTAATGGACTGTGGTTGTCGCGCGACGGGCATGGGACTGAGGTTGGGAAAATGTCGAGGCGAAGGTCTGGAGCGCGGGTTACCGCCGAGCCGTGAGGTCGGGGTGCGACGTGCGAAAGTGGCGGGCGGATTGTCGATGCGAGTGGTAACGGTGCTGACTGGTGATGTACGCGTTGAGCAGGGATGCGAAGTAAGGAAAATGAGATTTTCCTTACAACTCCATAACCCTCTTATTCTATTTTTATCATGTACGTACACCACACTATTGAGGCTTTGCAAACTAATGTGCCATTACGTGCCCCGCCCTGCGCCATTCCACTCGACTCCACGCTATGCCACGTACGCGAATCTCCCTGATTTGCGAACCAGTCGCAACCACACACAAGGAACTTTTGAGTCTGCGTTTTTATCGCAGGCGTGCCGCAACGGCCTCGTGTCGACCTGTCGCATCGCTGTACGACTTGCTGCGATCGAGCGTCGCCGTTTCTCCGCAGACCCTATGTGACTCTTGACGTGCAGCTTGTGTAGGTTTGTGTGGCACGCGAGGCACTTCATTGTAAACAGTACGACAACCCGGGCAGAATAATTATGACCCTCGCAAACCCAGATACAGTAGCGCATTTGACTGTCGGGTTTAACAAAAAGAAGCCCACCCTGCCGCTTGTGGACTGATACTCAATTAAGCACGTTAGGTCCCACGGAATCTTAACATGGCAGTGCTGCATTTTTTTCCTTTATACACATCAACCACCAGGCGATTGGTTGTTGGCGGAAAAGGGGGACCTGGCAGTCGCAACGTGCACCATAGCAGGAAGCACTCAAACCCTCATCACCTCCGTGCTCCCCTTGCATGCCTCCAGCTGTGACGATCGTCTGCTCTAGGCCCCAGACTTTGCCTCGTCCCTCTCCCTCCTCAACCAATTTTTTATGCTCGTAGACTGCTGTCAGGTTCTTCGCGGTAGCACAACCCGCAACCTCATAGTACTGCATGAATGGAAAGCTAGACATCGTAACAAGGAAGTCAGACAATGAAGGGGCCCGAAGCGGCAATCGTACTGGCTGAATCGACTAAAACCCCCGACGAAACAAATTTTGCGGAGTTAGTAACAGCAGATAAGACGGCCGAGATCGTAAACGAGTATCGCAAAAATAATGCGTCAACGGCGCGAGATGTTGTTGATTCCGGTGACGAATCGAATAGCGACTACGATGTTGAGCCATACGCAAACAAGGGCATATCATCCCCTTCAAAACCAAGGGATAAGCGCGTGAAGCGCTTAGATGATCTCGTTCCCAAAGGCGGCCAGAAAGGTACGTGTTTATGGTCGCAGATGCGGAAAATACTACTTGTATGCATGAAACGATGCTTGTAGTTGTGTCTGACCTGTTGGAGGTTATCGTCACTTCAATTGTGTTTCCACATCAGCGTCAGCGGACAAGCGTGACAACCGGGGGGGGCGTAAGCACCGTCCAAGAAAAAGAGGCACTCGTTCACATCGTGAGGAAACGCCTGCGTCTGAAGGCGACGAGGAGGGCAAAAGACGGGGGACCTGACAGCTTAGGTACGCTGTGGGTGTGATATCGACGGTTTATATTTTGCACGTTACTCATTACAATGACGCCGCATGTCATGGTGCAAATTCCAGCCAATAAGATAATGTGTGCACAGTTTTTCTTATGTACCTGTCATGTCCGCCTTCGCAGATGGGACGGCAGGCCAACGCGCTCGTGGTGGCGGAAAGCGCAACGGCGGCAGGGCTGCCGCGGCCAAGGCCGATCCCTCGGGCAGGCCGGCGCAGGATGCGGATGGAGGCGACGAGGGGGATCATGCCGAGCCGGAAGCTCGTGGTGGCGGAAAGCGCACCGGCGGCAGGGCTGCCGCGACCAAGGGCGGTCCCTCGGGCTCGCAGGATGCGGATGGTGGCGACGAGAAGGATCATGCCGAGCCGGAAGCTCGTGGTGGCGGCATGCGCAACGGCGGCAGGGCTGCCGCGGCTAAGGGCGGTCCCTCGGGCAGGCAGTCGCAGGATGCGGATGGTGGCGACGAGGGGGATCATGCCAGGCCGGAAGCTCGTGGTGGCGGCATGCGCAACGGCGGTAGGGCTGCCGCGGCCAAGGGCGGTCCCTCGGGCTCGCAGGATGCGGATGGTGGCGACGAGAAGGATCATGCCGAGCCGGAAGCTCGTGGTGGCGGCATGCGCAACGGCAGCAGGGCTGCCGCGGCTAAGGGCGGTCCCTCGGGCAGGCAGTCGCAGGATGCGGATGGTGGCGACGAGAAGGATCGTGCCGTGCCTGCATGCCATGGCGTTAACGATCATGATGAGGACGAGCCAGCAGCAGTGACTGATGGGAAAGGTGGACGTGAAGTTGTGATTCCGTACCAACGGCGCAAGGCTGTGGATCCGGGCAGTTGCGACCATAAGGCGAGACGAGCTCGGCACGGCCCTAATGTGCACGTTTCGAGCTCGTCTGGTTCCGAGGAAGATTCGAGCGACAGTGAGTCGGGCAGCTCATCCGGGAGTGAGGAGGTATACGAGGACGAGGATGAGGAGGAGGAGGACGAGGATGATGAGGAGTTGGAGCCAGAGAGCAAGGATGGGGAGGAGGCTCGGCCTTTGAAGAGGAGGACTGTGCGGAAGCTCAAGAAGGGCAACGCTAAGCAAAAATCGGAGAGGGGACGGGTGAAGAGCTGTAAACAGAGTGTGCGACGTGCCAAACCACATGGCAAGCGCCAGAGACCTCGATTCGAAGCTAAAATTGTGGGTGTGCATAGCAAGGCGAAGCGGGAGTTGAATTTTTACGAGTCCATGGGGATACGATGTCCATCAAGCTCTCATGATCGGCAAGCCGCGGACCCGTACGCTGCGTTACGCGATCCGATGGGTTCGGCTGGGAAGGGAGATCCGATGGCTTGGGGGTCAGCGTGGTTTGGCAGGGAAGCGACGGACCCGCCCCCCAACCATATGGGGGGTCGCGCGGTTCATGTGAAAAACGAGGGGGCAACGAAGCGGCACGAACCCTCGGCAGCTGCAGCAGCGAATGACAGTGTGGGAGGAGGTGTGTGGGCGAATGCCTTGGGTGAATGTGGCGGCGGTGTGGAAGGCTCCATGTGGGATGTACGGGAGAGCAGGGGAGAAGGGGGGGACGAGAAAATGGATCCGGTGACTAAGGAGGGGAGGGGAGAGAGCATGGGCACACCTGGCGCATCCAGTCGGCCGGATGTGGCTGGCGGCAGGACTGTGGAGCAGCTCATGCGAGAGCTTGCCCAGCGGGATCGCGAAATCGCTGCACTCAAGGCAAGGCCAGGATCAAAAGGACCTGTCAAGCCCTGCACCCCTCCATCTAGGCCTCCTCCTCTAGCGTCTCTGTCGAGCGGCCCATCTGTAGGGGGCCTCGATCCAGGCGTGGCGCCAGAAAGCCCAGCGACGGTAGACGTACCGGTCCGTCGAACGCGTGGGATGCCCACACCCAAGCTGCTGAAGGTGAGATTGTTTTAGTGTTAAACAATGTGTAGCATGGGGCTCAGTGATAGCTGCAGCTCTCTCTCTCAACCCCTCTTGCTGCTGGTAAGCGTGCTTGTGGCATTATGCGCAGTGATAGCGGCATGTCTGCAGTGGGATCGGCATTCCCAGTACGCCTCGCTTCAGGGACGTGGCGCTGGGCGTACGATGCTCTCACATTCTGCCCCCGACCCCTAGCTCACCATAGCAGTTATCCATCCTCCATTGGCCCCTCTCTCCCATCCCTACCCACCCTAAACCCGAGCCCCTGTTCATGGTGCTGGTGCTGGTGTGGGTGGCACGCGGTGCAAGGATAGCTCATTGTAGCAGTTATCCTTCCTATCCCTCCCCCCTCTCTCCCATCCCTCGCCTAGCTCTTCCAGAGCCCCTGTTCCTGGTGCTGGTGGTGGTGTGGGTGTCATGTGGCGGAGGGATAGCTAAGAATAGCAGTTATCCTTCATCTCACTTCCCTCTCTCTCCCATCCCTCCCCTCCCTCTGCGAGAGCCCCTGTTGATGGTGCTGGGGGTGGTGTGGGTGTCATGCGGCGGAGGGATAGCTAAGCATAGCAGTTTTCCTTCATCTCAATTCCCTCTCTCTCCCATCCCTCCCCTCCCTCTGCGAGAGCCCCTGTTCCTGGTGCTGGTGGTGGTGTGGGTGTCATGCGGCGCAAGGAATAGAGGAAGCCGTATCCGTCAACCCCATGCGGCCCCCTTTCTGTCCGCCGCCCCTTCCTCCCCTCTCTATCCCGTCCCTCTCCCTCCTCGTCCAGAGCCACTGTAAAAGGTGCTGCTGGTCACGCGAGTGGCATGCGGCGTAGCGTGCAGGGGGGTGGCTGCAGTGGAAGTTGAGACTCCTCGTACGAGGAGAACATGAACCCTCGCGCTGGGCGTACGGTGCCCTCTCACTCTGCCTACTCTCCCGTCTTTCGCTCTGACTATTTTATCCCCTCTCTCTCCCCTCTCACTCTACCATCGCTCCCCTACCTCAACCAGAGCTCCTGTTCATGGTGCTGGTGGTGGGGTGGGTGTCATGCGGCAGAGTGATCGTAAATCGCAGCAGTTATCCTTCCCATCCCTCCCCCCTCTCTCCCATCCCTCCCCTCCCTCTGCGAGAGCCCATGTTCATGGTGCTGGGGGTGGTGTGGGTGTCATGCGGCGGAGGGATAGCTAAGCATAGCAGTCATCCTTCATCTCACTCCCCTCTCTCTCCCATCCCTCCCCTCCCTCTGCGAGAGCCCATGTTCATGGTGCTGGGGGTGGTGTGGGTGTCATGCGGCGGAGGGATAGCTAAGCATAGCAGTCATCCTTCATCTCACTCCCCTCTCTCTCCCATCCCTCCCCTCCCTCTGCGAGAGCCCCTGTTCATGGTGCTGGGGGTGGTGTGGGTGTCAAGCGGCGGAGGGAATAGAGGAAGCCGTATCCGTCAACCCCACGCGGCCCCCTTTCTGTCCGCCGCTCCTCCCTCCCCTCTCTATCCCGTCCCTCTCCCTCCTCGTCCAGAGCCACTGTAAAAGGTGCTGCTGGTCACGCGAGTGGCATGCGGCGTAGCGTGCAGGGGGGTGGCTGCAGTGGAAGTTGAGACTCCTCGTACGAGGAGAACATGAACCCTCGCGCTGGGCGTACGGTGCCCTCTCACTCTACCTACTCTCCCAACTTTCGCTCTGACTATTTAATCCCCTCTCTCTCCCCTCTCACTCTACCATCGCTCCCCTACCTCAACCAGAGCTCCTGTTCATGGTGCTGGTGGTGGGGTGGGTGTCATGCGGCGGAGTGATCGTAAATCGCAGCAGTTATCCTTCCCATCCCTCCCCCCTCTCTCCCATCCCTCCCCTCCCTCTGCGAGAGCCCATGTTCATGGTGCTGGGGGTGGTGTGGGTGTCATGCGGCGGAGGGATAGCTAAGCATAGCAGTCATCCTTCATCTCACTCCCCTCTCTCTCCCATCCCTCCCCTCCCTCTGCGAGAGCCCATGTTCATGGTGCTAGGGGTGGTGTGGGTGTCATGCGGCAGAGGGATAGCTAAGCATAGCAGTCATCCTTCATCTCACTCCCCTCTCTCTCCCATCCCTCCCCTCCCTCTGCGAGAGCCCCTGTTCATGGTGCTGGGGGTGGTGTGGGTGTCATGCGGCGGAGGGAATAGAGGAAGCCGTATCCGTCAACCCCACGCGGCCCCCTTTCTGTCCGCCGCTCCTCCCTCCCCTCTCTATCCCGTCCCTCTCCCTCCTCGTCCAGAGCCACTGTAAAAGGTGCTGCTGGTCACGCGAGTGGCATGCGGCGTAGCGTGCAGGGGGGTGGCTGCAGTGGAAGTTGAGACTCCTCGTACGAGGAGAACATGAACCCTCGCGCTGGGCGTACGGTGCCCTCTCACTCTGCCTACTCTCCCGTCTTTCGCTCTGACTATTTTATCCCCTCTCTCCCCCCTCTCACTCTACCATCGCTCCCCTACCTCAACCAGAGCTCCTGTTCATGGTGCTGGTGGTGGGGTGGGTGTCATGCGGCGGAGTGATCGCTCACCATAGCAGCTATCCTTCCTCTCCCTGCATCCTCTCTCCCATCCCTCCCCCATCTCTTCCAGAGCCCATGTTCATGGTGCTGTTGTTGGTATGGGAGCCATGCGGCGCAGTGATGGCAACAGCCCTCTCTCTCACCCTCTGAATTCCGCCCTTCATTCGGAGGCATCACTCAATTTTACGTTTCCAATCCACCCGTCCGTCATAGGTGCATTTCGCCGTGGAGCAGGACCGGATGTGCCTAGAATGGCCAGACGATGCCATAGACTTCTACCCAACGCTCGAACTGCGCCTTCAGGTTTTGTATCAGGTTATCAGCGAGACGCACATAATTAAGCTGATGCAGCTGCGAGAGGCTATGGAAGACAAAAACATCGTCGACGGCTTCAAACGCGCTTGGACGTCATGGAAGAACGATCGTGGCTTCCACCTCAAGCGCAGAGTGCTTGTAACTTTCGGCAAGAAGGTGCAAGGCCTGCATGCAGCCGATCTCTGGATGGGCACCAAGAAGAAGAAGATGTGGAGAAAATACCAACCGAGTGAGTACGCGCGTTTCTGTTTTACTTCACCATTCATTTCATCTGCTCGTGCACCCCTCGTGACGATGATGAACAACTTACCCTAATGCATCCCCACTGTGGCACGCAACTACATACCTGCTCTCCTTGCCCAGCCTTGTAGCGCATGTGCAGTCACATCCGCATGACAGCTTAACGTTGGTTCTTCTCCCACTCTCCCCTTCTCCCGCCCCCCCTTTAATCTACAGCTCTCCCCTTCCCTCCCGCCATCCCGTTCTCTCCCTCCCTCCATTTCTCTTCAGCCCTCCCCTTCTATCCCGCCCTCCATGTCTCTCCTGCCCTCCCCCTCTCTCCTGCCCTCCCCCTCTCCCCTGCCCTCCCCTTCTCTCCTGCCCTCCCCTTCTCTCCCGCCCTTCCCTGCTCTACTGCCCTCCAGCCAACCCTCCATTCATTCTATACCGCCCTCCACTTCGACCATACCCTTTGGACAACCCCTAACCATGTCGTGCATGATCTTCGTCCCCGCCTTGTCCTGCGTGCGCGCAGGAGGGAATCAGCGGGTCAGCTCGTGGGGAAACAGCAGAGACGGGCTCCCGTTTGCCAACGGCCGGTTTGTAGATGCGGTCCGGGAAGCATTTCGGAATCTCTGTGTCGGGCGCCGGGTGTGCGTCAAAGCCTACCACATTGCCTGGTCAATCATGGTGGTAAGGCATTATTGCTCTCCCGTCAGTTCGCTCTAGCTTTGCTTGCAATTCTTGCCCGCCAGACTGGAATGTGGGGCTATTTGCGCAGCCCGTGAACTCTACACGCGAGTGTCCACATATGTCTCTATTTCCCCTCTTTCCCATACTTTGCTACGCTTTTTCAGATTGACCAGGGCTTGGCAAAGGTTAAGAAGACCGACTGGAACGTCTCGAACTCCCACCGCAAGAACACCGAGTGGATGACGGGTTTGCACCGAAATGTGCGGTGGATTATCAAGGACCACTTCACACGCCACACCCCCGTGTACAACACAGTCGTGCAGGGCTTCAAGTGGGGCGACCGTGGCCTGTATGTTCACAAGTCAGGATTTGAGGCGTTCAAGGGGACGGCCGCGCCTGACGAGGAGAACAAGGACTTGAAGGAGGAAGAGCAGGAGGTGTACGACGCGGAGGACTTGAAGACGGATGACGAGGAGGATGACGAGGATCAGGAGGAGGACGAGGACGAGGACGAGGACGAGGAGGAGGAGGAGGAGGAGGAGGAGGAGGAGGAGGAGGAGGAGGAGGAGGAGGAGGAGGAGGATGAGGAGGAGGAGGAACAGTGGGGGCAGGAGCGGAGGAAGAGCAAAAGGCACAAGAGATGCAAAAGCAGGGGAGGCAAGAGGGATGAGCAAGAGGATGAGGAGGAGGAAGAGGAGGAGGATGTGAAACGGGGGGGGCGGGAGATTAGGAAGGGCAGAAGGCAGAAGAGAGGGAAACTCAGGGGAGGCAGGGAGGAAGAGGAAGAGGGTGGGGAGGAGGAGGAGGGGGAGCAGGAGGATGAAAATCATAGGGGGCAGGAGAGGAGGAAGGGCAGAAAGCACAAAAGAGGCAGAGGCAAGGGAAGCCGGAGGGAAGAGGAAGAGGAGGAAGAAGTGGAAGAGGAGGAAGAGGATGAGGATGAGGAAGAGGAGGAGGAGGATGTGGAACGGGGGGGCGGGAGCTTAGGAAGGGCAGAAGGCAGAAGAGAGGGAAAATCAGAGGAAGCAGGGGGGAAGAGGAAGAGGATGAGGAGGAGGAGGAGGGGGAGCAGGAGGATGAAAATCATAGGGGACAGGAGAGGAGGAAGGGCAGAAAGCACAAAAGAGGCAGAGGCAAGGGAAGCAGGAGGGAAGAGGAAGAGGAGGAAGAAGTGGAAGAGGAGGAAGAGGATGAGGATGAGAAGGGGGGGGGGCCAGGAGCGAAGGAGGGGCAAAAGACAAAAGAGTGGCAAACGCCGGGGAGGCAAGAGGGTCAAGCGATTGGGCGACTAAACAAGGGGGGCAGCAGATGAGGCATGAGTGGAGTTTACAAGGGGGGGCAGCAGGATAGGCATCACACACTTGCGAGGAGACATCAAAACGGAGGTAGAGGCATTGGTGGAGACAGCAAGGGGGGCAGCACGCCAGGCAAGAAAGTAGAGTCAGCATGGGGGGTAGCACGGGCGGCAAAAGCGTGGAGTCAGCAAGGGGGGCAGGAGTAGAGACAATGTGAGGAGTGTCCAAGGGTGGGCAACCAGCAAGGCAACCAGATAGTGCAAGAGGGTGCAGCAGAAAAGGCATGAGTTGAGAGAGTTGGGGGGGCAGCAGAAAAGGCACGAGCAGATAGAGGGGAGTGCACAAAGGGGGCAGCAGGTTAGGCATGACTGGAGCAAGCAGCAGTAAAGGCATGACTGGGGAGCGCCAGGGGCGGAGCAGCAGACGCATGAGAGGGCAGAGCATGCAATGAAGCAGTGGACGCAGGGGCACGCTCGACCTAGAGCACCAGAGATGGGGTTCGGTGGAAGACATAGTGTACTGGAGCATGCTAAGCAGGTCGTAGGATGATGCAGCTCAACCTAACTGACTAGGCACAGAGGGTTTAGGATGCTGTTTTATGTGCGTTTTTAGGGTGGAATTATCAGCTTTTACCAAAGCTTCTGTACTGTTCATTTTGAATGCAAGATTGAGGCAACTTAACATAGTTTTAAATTACATATAAGGTCGTGCAAGTCTCCTACATAAGCTTATTTTAATGAACCCGAAATCCCATAAAGAGTACATTGCAATGAGATCCGATCTTCGAAATTGCTCTGCGGAAACTTGTACCAAACTTCTTGCAAAGGTGTTCACCTGGCAGGTTTGAACAGAAAAGCATTGGAGAAGCATTTGAAAAGCGTTCGAGAAAGCATTTGGAAAGCAACCTATACTTTCTCAAAAAAGCGTTAGAAAAACGTCGTTCAAGAATCATTCGACAAAACTCCAAAGCAACTTTTTTCATCGGTTTTCCGGATGCAGGATTTTTGTGATGCGCTCTTACCTTATTTCTCATCCCCACACACACACCATCCCTGCCATCGCAGTTATGGATGGCGTTTGTCGCCTTTGGGTCATCCACAGTAGCAGCAAGCATGCTGGCCCAATCCGTCCCTTCCTTCCTTCAAATCAATCAGTCCGTCTCTCTCCCACCCAATTCCCCCTTCCCACCACACACCATCCCTGCCACCGCAGTTCTGAATGGTAGCTGTCCCCTATCTTTCATCCACAGCAGCACCACCAAACATGTTGTTGCCTCAGTCCCTCTCTTTCCCGCCCCCCTCCCTCCCAATCTCCCCTTCCCACCACACACCATCCCTGCTAACACAGCTCGTGCTGGCGGTTGTCGCCTTCTTGTCAACCACAGCAGTAGTGATCTACGGAGTCCCCCCCCTCGCCCTTCACTACACCATTCCCCTCTGGGTTGTGAGCATCTGGTGGGTGGGTTCTATACATTTCAAGCCGTGTCTCTCTCATTCTGGGCTTTCCACCCTTCTTGTGTGTTCGCGTGCTATCTTTGGCACATCATGGGCCAAGTTGTTATGATGTGTCCCTGGTGTGAATGTCACGACTCACGTCTCGCGACCTTGTTGTAACTACTGCCACCTTCCCCTACCTACCCCACTTCCCCTTCCCGTTCCTCTTCCACTTCCTCCTCTCCAGCCTGCTCGCCCACTTGCTACTGCAGCACATCATGAGCAAGACATTGTCTGTCATACTCTCAGCTGAACATCACACGTCCCCCTCCCCCTCCCCCATACCCTTCTCCTCCTCCTCCTTGTCTCCACCAGGGCGCTCGCCCGCTTGCTACTGCCGCGCATCACGGCCGAAACAGTGACTGTTGACTCCGCTACGTGTCAGCTGACCATTTGTCGAACGGTGAACGGGAAAACTCTGCCTTGCTGTGGCGTGTCCGAGGCAAGCACTGCTCTAATCAGTGGCGCTGGAGTGAACTTCACCGTGGTATGAACTCTTTGAGTTTACGCACTCAAGGAAACAGACTACACCATGCAGGCCCTTACCTTGTACTTTCTCTCCGTGGCTCTCTGTGGCTCTGTCACTGCCACCATGCACCGCACCTGTTGCTGCTACCATGGACTGTGGAAAACATTCATTTTGTGAAAACATGCACCAGCAGCAGCAGCAGCAGCAGCAGCAGCAGCAGCAGCACCAGCAGCAGCAGCAGCAGCAGCAGCAGCAGCAGCAGGAGCAGCAGCAGCACCAGCAGCACCAGCAGCAGCAGCACCAGCAGCAGCACCAGCAGCAGCAGCACCAGCAGCAGCAGCACCAGCAGCAGCAGCAGCAGCAGCAGCAGCAGCAGCAGCAGCAGCAGCAGCAGCAGCAGCAGCAGCAGCAGCAGCAGCAGCAGCAGCAGCAGCAGCAGCAGCAGCACCAGCAGCAGCAGCAGCACCAGCAGCAGCAGCAGCAGCAGCAGCAGCAGCAGCAGCACCAGCAGCAGCACCAGCACCAGCAGCAGCAGCAGCAGCAGCAGCAGCAGCAGCAGCAGCAGCAGCAGCAGCAGCAGCAGCAGCAGCAGCAGCAGCAGCAGCAGCAGCAGCAGCAGCACCAGCAGCAGCAGCAGCAGCAGCACCAGCAGCAGCACCAGCAGCACCAGCAGCACCAGCAGCACCAGCAGCACCAGCAGCACCAGCAGCACCAGCAGCACCAGCACCACCAGCACCACCAGCACCACCAGCACCACCAGCACCACCAGCACCACCAGCACCACCAGCAGCACCAGCACCACCAGCACCACCACCACTCTTGCTTTTCCTCCACCCAAATTCCTACCCACGGGATCTCACCATGACTGGTGGGTGGGAGTACGGCCAATACCACTACCGCCACCACCTCTCACGTCAATTGTTGCTTGGAGCTCCTCCCCCCAATATTACTCCTATTCCGTCCAACTCCTCGCCTTGCAGGACCATTACAATTACAATTACCACTACCGCTCTCAACCAACCACGTTCTGCCAGCTCACCATGGCGGGCGGAAGGACTCTCTCCTTCGCCTATCACTTGTCGCTACCAGAGCAGCGCTGGCTCTCCCTCCACATCGCATCCTTTCTGCAAGTTCCCTGGTTCTAACCACCCTTTCCACAATCCTGTTGACCCAACACTGTTAGCGCCTGTACAGTCCCCACTTCTTAGCGGAGCATTGGTGGCTCTCCCTCCCTCCGCATTGTCTCCTTCCTGCAAGTGCCCTGGTTTCAACCATCTTCGTACCATCTTACACACTGTCGGTCGGCGTTCCTTCTTTTTGTATCCTAGCCGACTCAGCACTACTGCCTGTGTATCATACCGGTAACAGTGCTCGTTTTCTTCTCTCGCTCAACGCCACTTCATTGCGGAGCAGCATTGGCTCTCACATCATTCCAGCATCATTCCAGCAAGTACCTTGCTTCTAGCCATCGCCTCTACAATCTTTCTCAAGTCAGAATGATACCAGTAAGATTTTTAAAAAGCATGTACATATAGCTAATAAGTGTTGACTGCTGCTTTCCTTACCGGCATGTGTGCTAAAGCAGAGTAGTAATCGCGGTCACTCTAAAAGTTTGTGCCGGAATAAAAATAGTCATGTTTCTGGCTGCTGCGCAGGGGTCATCATTTGCTGAATCACCCATCAAACTGGCAGGGCTAGCTATCAGCTCACCTCAGTAACAGAAACCTCAACATCATCCCCCCCTTTCAACAGTTGCATGCTGCTGCCATCCTCGCTGAAAGCAGCTGGCAAGGGCGCGCAGGCATGCAGTGAGCGCCCCGAATATGATGGAAACGGATTTGTGTACCTATACAATCAGATTGTACATGATTTTTGTACATTGACACCAGTAGCTAGCCAGCCCAACACCTCTAATTCGGGTGGATATGCACAAGGCCAAGCAAATTAGGGCGAGCAGACGTGCATGCCCTTGGCTGTGAGAGGACGGGCCATGCAACGATCCTTCCACTCCAAAACCCGAGGATAGGACGACAGATGCAGCTGGTCATCCGCTTTGTAAAATACCTGAAGAAACGCACAAGCAGTACAATACCAAAGATGAACTCGTTGAACTTAGCACGACACTTGCCATAGTCAGGAAACAATGTAAAGCCTGGAGGTGCAGAAGAATGAAATCCCGAGCCCAGCACAGCACACTGCAGCAATCCTTTTGTAACAAGCAGAACCATGGGAAAAGAAGCGGGAGGTGTCGCCACCTACCGAGCTAACTCAACACACACGCTCGCCCATCCACTTACCCACCCAACAGCATTCGGCAAACTGGCTCCATGAACCACCCACCCATGCACCAGCCGGGAACTAGCCACAGAAACCACCCACCCCACCCTACCTAGCGCATCCACCTGTAGCAAGTTGACCCAGGCAATGGTGTTGCCCGCATCCAACAGGAACTCCCTCCCCTCCAGCCTTTCATCCATGGGCTACCACACGCACACCAATCGAACCACCCACCCACCCAGAGGAAGCTGATAACCAGGTAAGCCACCCGCCCTGCCCACACCCACCCACCTGCAGCGAGTTGACCCAGGGGAAGGTGGCCATGTCAGCGATGGTGTAGCCGGCATCCACCAGGAACTCCCTCCCCTCCAGCCGCTTCTCCAGCACCCCCAGCAGCCGCCGCGTCTCCTCCGTGTAGCGCTGCAGCGGGTACGGGTGGTCGCACTGCTCCCGTGCAAACTTGTAGAACATGCCAAACTGGGGGGAAGGGGAAAGCGGGGAAAGCAGGGAGAGGGGTGAACACTGACGTAGGCTCTCTGTGTAGCGCTGCAGCGGGTACGGGTGGTCGCACTGCTCCTGTGCAAACTTGTAAAACATGCCGAACTGGAGGGAGGGAAGGCAGGAGGGAGGCGAAAGTATGTTAAGCACACTCAAGTACACTGCAGGGGGTACGCGTGGTTGCAATGCTCGCGTGCAAACTTGTAGAACATGCCGAACTGGTAGAGGGGGGAAAGAGAGGAAGAACGGGATGGGGAACATAGGGAGGGGAGAGTCAAAGCACACTAGAGAGGATATGGGCGGGCAGTCACATTACATCAATTTGTGTTTGTTTATTTCGTTAATAGAGGTTTGCCGAGTACGGAGAAGTAGATAACGCAACGGTCGTCGTGGACCCAGCAACCGGTCGGACCATGCGCTCTCCAAGACACCGACACGAAGTCTATGGTATGGGCCGACTGGTCGTTGGTTCCACGATGACCGCACCGTTCTCCACCTCTCCATACTCCGCAAACCTCTTGGCTTGTTATCGGTATAAAAAGGACGGAGATGGCGGGAGAGGGGAAAGGAGGAGGAGTTAGAATTCCTCACCTCGCGGCTTTAAAGATAAGTCCGCTTCAAATTTCTCACCTGGCCCAACAGGAAACACACACCTGGCCGAACATGTTTCCCGCATCAAGTCTCCCACCTGGCTGAAGATATGACCCACATCAAACATCTCACTTGGCCGAACATGGGACCGACGCTGCCCACTTGGAAGAAGAGCCAGGGAAATAGTCTCCCATCGCTGCACGGCATGCTTTGAGTCGACACATGTCATACCTCATCACATGTCATACCTCATCACATGTCTCACCTGGCCAAACATGAGTCTGCATCAAATTACTCACCTGGCCGAACATTGGACCGACGCCGCCGACTTGGAAGAAGAGCCACGAAATGGTCTCCCATCGCTGCACGGCATCCTGCGGCAGAAACTTGCCCGACTTCTCCGCCAGATACAGCAGGATAGCCCCGCTCTCAAATATCTTCAGCGGGGTGCCGCCTGGTGGGAGGGCGAACAGGAGAAATATATAGAATCCGGTCTTGAGATGTCTCAAACCTTCTCCGCCAGATAAAGCAGGATGGCCCCGCTCTAAAATACCTTCAACAGGATGCCTCAAAGTGCGGTTTTGATGCTTGTCCCCCAGGCACAGCAGAGTGTCTCGTAATGGGTTTTTTCATCAGTCACACAAACTGCAGCACCGCTGTTCCATGACAGATTTCAAGCAATCGACTCACCTGGGCCTCCCTTGGGGCCCACGAGGGCAGGGATCTTGTTGTTGGGGTTGATTGCAATGAATCCAGGCTTGAACCGTCATGCTCACCGTGTGCGCATCGTATAGCAACTGCATCTCCTTCAGCGATGCTCACCTGGGCCTCCCTTGGGATCCACGATGGCAGGGATCTTGTTGTTGGGGTTGATTGCAATGAACTCCGGGCTGAACTGCTCGCCCTTCATTATGTTCACCGTGTGTGCGTCGTAGGGTAGCTGCATCTCCTCCAACGCGATGCTCACCTGAAGGGAGAGGGAGAGAGAGAAAGAGAAGGAAAGAGTGATAAGTGATACAAGTTCTTCAGACGCACATACATTGCTGTGTGTGCGTCGTTTGACAGCTGCATCTCCTCCAGAGCGATGCTCACCTGAAGAGAGAGGGAGAGGGAAAGCGACGGAGCGAGAGGGAGATATGATATAGGATCTTCATACACAGAGACAATCATCGTGTGCGCGTCGTAGGGTAGCTGCATCTTCTCGGGAGCAAAGCTCACCTGAAGGGAGGGGAAGAGAGAAAGAGGGAGTAAGATAGGTGATACAAGATACTGTATCACGGTGAAATCATACGAAGGGTAGATGCAAAATCAAGGCGAGGGACGAAACGAAAGAGAGACATGGAGTGTGGCGGAAGCCATAGATCGTGAATACCGTTACACGCACCTTCATGCCATTGGGAGTGGCGAACGAGTAGAGCTGGATGCGCGACGACGCGTCCTCGCCAAGGCTGAGTCGATCGTCCGCGGTGCCCGCAACTTGCTGTCCTTGCGCCATGGAGGAAAACACTCTTCCAGCCGAAAAGCAAGAAACACCGAGTCGCTTTCTTTCTGTTCCTCTGGCAGCGCTGAACCAGCCTGACACCCGCACGCCTTGATTCTTGCGCGAGAACAGATCGCACGATTTTAGGGATGGAGAAGCAAGAGCAGCGGCGGCGACAAACGGGATACGCGGATTTTGGATAGGTGCGGTTCGGATCATGCTGGCTGCTACGGGTCCGCGAGATCCGCTCAAAAGGGACGCCGACGACGACAGAAAACGGATGTGCTGAAACACAGGAGTGGCTTTAGCGACCTAGCCAATCCAGCTGGCGAGACAATTCGAGAAACGAAACCTTGAGCTCCGACCATGGCTGACAATGCGATGCCGCTACTATGCACTTATGATTGACTCCTCCGAGGAGTCCTCCTGCCACTGCTTCACCGACGCTACGCTTCTCTGGGTGCTTCCTCGAAATCATCGCCTTTTACGTGCTCGCCATTTGACAATCTCCATGGACATGTCCACCTTGGATAAACAGCAACACAGCGCTGGCAGTGCGACGATCAAGGCATATCAGTGGCAGCAGTTGCTGTCAGACAGACCTGCTTGCCTCGGGTGCCCAGCTCCAAATCCAAGGTGTAGAGAAAAAGAAGCACGTACGTCACATTTTTCATGGTACCTTATCTCATGCACATTGTAAGGAAAAACACTTTTCCTTACTTCGCATCCCTGCTCAACGCGTACATCACTGTAGCACCACAGTCAGCACCGTTACCACTCGCGATCCTCGCATCGACAAACCGCCCGCCACTTTCGCACATCGCACCCCGACCTTACGGCTCGGCTGGTAACCCGCGCTCCGGGCCTCCGCTTCGACACTTTCCCAACCTCAGTCCCAGGCCCGTCGCGCGACAACCACAGTCCATTACCGTTACCACTGTAGTTTCGCTATATATTCTTCGCTCATGCCTTCGCTCATTGTATTCTTGCTTCGATAGTGCAGTTCTCGTTCGTTCACTCAATTGCACTCGTAACACCTGGTATTCAGAGCCTACGATCTCCTCTCTGACCGCACCCTCACTTTCGCTTCCCCACTATCTCAATTTTTGGGGGGGGTAGACGTCTCTCAGTGATACAGCACCGCCGCTCGTAGTGCTCTCTCGTAAGCACGCACAGCCACGACTGAGGCTCTCGCTGAGCTCGCCCGACACCCCCGCCATGGCCGATTTCACGCTCGCCACATTGACGCAGGAGCAGCTTGATCGTCTCGTGCGTCAACTTGAAGAATCGGCGCTCGAAATCGCGACGCTCACGGCGGAACGTGACTCCGCCTGTCAACAATCCACTGTGAACATTCCAGCGACATCACACGTACCAACAAATGCATCTGCACAATCGGACGAGCCGATCATCATTTCGTCCGGCACACCAACGCAACACGACAGCATGGAACAACGCTCAGGCGCAGCCAGTGATGGCGCTGCCCAGCCGATGCCTGGCATGGGAGGAAGCAGGGTCGCACCAAGCCCGCGGGAAGCCCGTGAAGCCCGTCGGCACGTGGAATTCGCGGCGACAAGTGGCGAACAGGCCATTATGGCACCAATGCCGCTCAAGCCACAACGCCCGCCCTGCTTCGACCCAAGTCAACGCGGAGGTCTGACGGTTCAGTCGTGGGTCTTCACGATGAACGTCTTCTTCGACGCAAACTACGTCGAGTCGGACGCCGCGAAGATTCGGTATGCAGTTTCGCTGCTAAGGGGCCCCGCCATGGACTGGTGGCGAGTCATCGTGACATCGCCACGTGTGAAAGTAAGGAACAGGAATGAAATGACTAAGGAAAGATTGGGTACAAATACAACCCTAGAAACCTGTACCCCATATGTGCTACCCCACTATAGCCTACAACAACTATGTCATATCAATCTGACACACCCCCATAGGCAAAGTGGGGGAGAACAAGGGGTCACAAGACCAGTCAAGCAAAGCAAAGTAAAGCTCAGGGTGGATCACAAAGTCACCACACAGTCCGAGCACAAGGTCAAGGCCATAAGGCCAGTTCACATGCAAGACTAGACACATATATATAAGGCTACACAAGCAAGAGCAGGTATATATATATGCAAGAGTACAAGCAAGGTCAAGAGGTAAGCAAGTGAGGTAGGACAGGTACAAGTCCCAGCTGAGTGCAGAAGCGCTGTTGATCACAAGGCGGAGGTGCCTTGGTGAAAACATCAGCAGTGTTGGCCTCAGAGGCCACGTACGCAAGTCGCAACTGACCACGCTGCTGCAGCTCACGAGCAAGAAAGTAACGGAGAGCAATGTGCTTCGTTCTGTGCTCCAAGCGCTGCTCTCGACACAAGGCCAGCATGACCTTGTTGTCTACGTACAGCACTGGAGGAGAACGAGGCGGCTCTCCAAGGTCAGTCAGCATGTAGGTGAGCCAGCGAAACTCCTGTGCAGCCATGGCCCCGGCGTAGATCTCAGCCTCACAACTGGAGCCAAGAACAGAAGACGAGCGAGTAGCCCGCCAAGAGACAGAGCCAGAACCAAGACTGAAGGTGTACCCCTGCGACGACCGCTGCGTAGCCTGGTCGTCAGCCCAAGAAGCGTCCGCGTGACCAGTGAGGACCACTGGACTCCGCCCTCCAAGCACTAGCCCCATGCCTGACGTACTGCACAAGTAGCGCAACACCCTCTTCGCTGCAGCCATGTGCTCTGATCTGTGTCTCCCAGGAGCAACATAGCGTGCAAGAGTGCTAAGAGGGTATGCAAGGTCAGGTCGTGTGCAGGTCATCAGGTACATGAGGCAGCCAACAAGCTCCGGGTACGGGCCACTCGACTCTACGGACTCATCCGAAGGCAGAGCTGAGAGCGAGTGGCGAGTAGCCAGAGGAGTGGCCTGAGGCGAGGAGTACGTGAAGCCGAAGCGCCGAAGGACCTGCTGCACCATGTGTGACTGAGTCAAGGTAATGGTGCGGCGTGCTCTGTCCCGGGTGATCTGCAAGCCAAGGTAGCTGCGCAGTTCACCCAGGTCTGTGCACGTGTGTCTCTTCAGCAGCTCGGACTTCACGTAGGCGAGTCCAGCAGTGTCAGCAGTGGCAAAGACCAAGTCGTCGACGTACACGAGGATGTAGAACGGCGGCAGAGAAGTGTCGGTGCGCAGAAACAACGACGGGTCAGCAGTAGAGGGAGCAAACCCAAGAGCCGCAAGCGTAGTCCTCAGTGTGTCGTGCCACTCACGCGGTGCCTGGCCGAGACCGTAGACTGGCCGTCGGAGGCTCCACTGGGTGCCAGGAGGGAAAGTCCCAGTGAAGCCAGGCGGACGGCGCAGCCAGATCTCCTCGTGCAGGCTGCCCTGCAAGAAAGCCGTGCTGAAGTCAAGAGAGTGAAGCTCGTAGTCGCGCTGAGCGGCTATGTGCAGCAGCACCCGAAGGGTAGTCATCTTCGGGGTGGGAGAGAAGGTCTGAAAGTAGTCAACTCCCTGCCGCTGACTGAAGCCACGAGCAACGTACCGCGCCTTGAAGACAGGTGGAGAGCCAGGCGGCCGCTTCACCCTGAAGATCCACATGCCACTGACGATGTTCGCCCCAGGAGGGGGAACCTCGTCAACGTAGGTGCCTGTGGACTTCCAGGAAGCCATCTCTGCATCCATAGCTGCCTGCCACTGAGAGGAGTAGGGACCCTCTACGGCCTCCGCGTAAGAGCGCGGAGTCGGGATGTCTAGTGCATCCGGGTCTCCCTCAGGGGCAAGCAGTACAGACGCGAGATGAGGTGAAGCAGCAGCCAGATACTGGAACTCCTCCTGCCTGTCCTCAAGGACGTCCGTGCCAAGAGCACACTCACCCCCGACGGACGGAGGACAGACAGACGCAGACTCAGCAACAAGACTGGCAGCGTAGTCGAGACGACAGCGGGCAGCAAAGTCGACGAGCTCAGCGACAACAGCAGACGCAGCAGTGGACTCAAAAGAGGGGTCAGTGACGACAGTAGCAACGAGACGCGTGACAGTAGGACTGGCAGCACGAAGGGAGTCCGACTCCGGGTCGGCAAGCGCAGGAAGAGAGGACTCAGGAGGAGAAGGTAGAGGGGCACGCAGAGGAGCAGTGGACGGACGCAGAGACATCCGGTGCGTGCCAGGGACAGGAGGAGGACGCTGACGCGAACCGCGACCACTAGCGCGAGCAGTACGAACAGGCGACGCGGGACGAGACGCAGGCTCACGACGCTCAGCAAGACCTCCAGTAGGACCAGTGTAAGGAGAGGGAGCAGGAAGTGGGGAGGTAGGCTCCAACAGTGACTGCGACTGGACAGGCTGTGGACACTCTACAGGAGGAGAAAGACCAAGAACCTGCTGAAGGAGCGGAACGAAGTACGGCCGAGGCCGCGCGGCAACTCCAGACCGAGCAGGGACAGCACCAGCACTCTCAGCGGCAGCACTAGCGCCAACAACACCTCCAGCGGCAGGACCTCCAGCAGCACCAGCAGCAAGACCACCGCCAGGACAGACAGCAGTAGTCTCAGCACCAACACCCTCAGCAGCGCCAGCTCTAGTAGGACCCGCAGGCCCAGCAGCTCCAGGACCGGCGGCACCAGCACCCTCGGCGGTCGAAGAAGCTCCAGCTCCAGCAGTACGCCTCAAGCGGCGAGCAAACCACTCGCGCAGCTCCTGTGAAGAGAGGGGCTCCCGCCGAGACGGAGCACCAGGAGAAACCCCAGGCCCAGCACTGCCAGGCACCACAAGGGGAGGTCCAGCAGTCGCAGGCTCCGCACCTCCAGGCTCAGCAGCTCCAGACGCAGCACCCCGAGACTCAGCACCCCCAGGCTCAGCAGCTCCAGACTCAGCACCCCTAGGCTCAGCAGCTCCAGACTCAGCACCCGCAGGCTCAGCAGCTCCAGGCACAGCACCCCCCGGCTCAGCACCCCCAGGCTCAGCACCCCCAGCAGCAGCACCCCCAGGCTCAGTAACCCCAGTAGCAGCACCTCCAGGCTCGGCACCCCCAGGCTCAGCACCCACGCGCACAACACCCCCAGAGTCAGCACCCCCAGGCTCAGCACCCGCAGCAGCATCAGAGTCACCAGTAACCTCGACCGGGTCAACTGCGTCTACCTGGGACACACCTGAGGGGGCAGGAACCTGAGGGGGGAGGGGGTCTACCGGGGGGGGAACCGGCACAAGGAAGTGCGGTGGCGGGGGGAGGGAAGGAGTGCGGTAGGGGAAG